GCTGTACATCTTAGGTGGGTTCAGGAGAGAAATGTTTGGGTTATTTATTAGATTTCATAGAAGAAAGCAAGTTTTTTGCTTACAAATTGATAATTTGTATTATTGGGGAGATTACCAGCCATTCAATATTTGATCAAAAACTATATCATGGACCTTCCAGATTATTAATTCAGAACTAATTAGAATAGCTCTCACTATTGAAAGTCTACTATACACCAGGCAGTTAATATATGTAATCTCATTGATTCCTCCAAACAGTTTCATGAAGAAAACTACGTGGTATTGTAGCTAAAATGTACATATCACTTAAGATGTGTGCTGTTTTCCACAAATTATCTAATGTAATCTTCACAATGACAATATAAAGGAAATATTTCTTAGTACCATTCTACAAATCAGGAAACTAAGAAATTTTGAAAGATTAGGAAATTGCCCACATCCGTGCATCATATCAATGTTGGAACTAGGATTCAAATCTGTGTCATTTTTAATTACTCTGAACCCATGTTCTTAACCACTAAGCACAAGATTGTACTAAGGAGATTCAAATGTAACATTGCCTTAAAAGATACTCCAAACAAGAGAGGGACAAATACTTTGTACTAAGAAAGAGGAATGTGAATGTGCGCGCGCGTGTGTATGTGTGTGTGTGTGTGTGTGTGTGTGTGTGTGTGTGGTGTTTGTGCCTGTGTATGTCAAGACTTGCTCGAACATTTGAAGGTTGTTATGCCTCTGTGCAGGAAGGCTCCTGGGAAGATCTGATCTTGAAGATGAGGATGTCTAAGCTGGGAATTCCAAAAGGCCTAGGCCCTGTAGGGATTGCATCCCCATCAGCAACCAGGGCCTTTTTTGAGAGCAAACTTTATGTACCCAATAGATCTCCTTTATTGATTCACTGATTTTTTTCTATTTCCTCATTCACATGGTCACTCTGCATCTGTGTGGTAGGCATTGTGCTAGATGCTGGAGCCACAGATGAAAACAGAGTGATTGGGGCCTGCCTGGGAATGACTAGAGGCCATGAAAAACAGATGCCCTGGTTTCCATGATTATCCCATTTTTCCTAAAGTCCAGCAGCAACTCATATGCTAAAACTAAGATTCAAAGATAAATCTAGTTTACTGTATCTTAACAACTTTTAGTAAAGGGAAGAATTAATACATTATCTATCATATTCTATACTACTAAGGAATCAAATCCACATAGACAACAAATAGTAAATAGATGTGTGCATGGGGCAACAGTGGGGCTGTGGCTCTAGTCCACCTCTATAGATTGTATATGGGATACCACACATCTGTGAGGCCTTAATATGTTTGTGTTTGGTGTCTCTTTAAGGACTGCATGTTTCTTGAGAATAGGGATCATATGTTAAAGTCTTTATTTTTTCAATACCCATCACTCCACTTGGCGCATCATGTATGCTCAGTAATTGTTCATTGGGTGGAATTGTGCTTAGTCTTGGGAAGCCAACACTTTGATATTACTATCTCAGCACTTGCTTTAATATATGATGATGGGATATATAAAAATTCATTCATCTCAGATTTTAATATGCTCTTAGCTTTAATAAAATTGCAGGTGTAGCAAAGTACAAAATGTCCAGAGAAAGCATTAAGATTCCAATTAAAAAGCATTAAAACATATGGAATAGTTCACATGTGTTATTCATGAAAAACTACTTTTCAGGAGATAAAAATACATCTCAAAATCAAACTCTATGATTATCCAGGCAGGTGGTTACTATAGCACTGAAGGGGAAAAAAAGGCAGTATAATTAACTAAAGTTGTTGGAGAGAAAAAAAATATGTAAAGCATTCAAAGTTTATGAAATTAGATCTTTAAATACCAAGTCTGAATTTGAGTGGGTCACTCTCTTGTCTTAACTTCCATATGATGTCAGGAAATCTACATGCCAGATAGTGCAGGACAAGGTGTGGCATCAATTTTATTTTCTAGCCACCATGGAAACCCACCAGCTGTCACCACAGAACCATTAGGTTCAGGAAAATTAAGTATCTGAAGAAAAAGCAGATTATTTCAAAACTGGGCAATTCCATCTACTTTATTGACCCTCCATATCTACAGAAATGCCCACCCTCTCACTTTTCTAGTCTTCAGGCTGGAGAGGAGACTGTAAGTGATGGTCAGCACCAGAGCTGGAAACAGTAGGGAACCTAATCCATGTAGCTGTCCAGGCTCCAAACTGTCAGGAACATAAAACATTACTGGGTGCTTAAATAACCACAGGAAGTATTACTGGTCAGCAACAGCAAAATGTACTTGGCAGAACTCACTGCAGGAAGAGAGCTTTGTGAATTCAAAGACATATTACCATGACTTGATCGAGGGTAGAGTGAGACCGCCAAGGCAAGTTCAGACAAGAGATTGGCCCCAAGCGCCCCCAGAAGATGATGGGAGCACTGACAACACAGGTTTTCAGTTTTGCTAAGAATACACACAATTATAGCTAGGATGGAATTATGTTCCTAGCTTTTAGCTCTTCACCAGTCAACAAGTAGCCACTCCTCTAAATAAACATGGAAGAAAATATTTATAGAATATTGTGTTGGTGTGCCCATTTGAAAAGCCACTGGATTTTCACCAATGTCACAGCCCAGTGTATGTACATCTGATTAAAATGGAGATATTAGGGGTTTTTTTTCTATTTCATCCTTTCCCCTAAGGCCTTTGCCAAGGGAAGTTATAGGATTTCTTGTCTTAGGTATCATTAGGCAAAACATAGATGATGCTCACCTAGTGATGAGAGAGCAGAGAGCAGGACCACTTCCATGTCTTTCCCAAACTCCTACACTGACTCTTGTATTACCATGTTACATTTTAAATGATCCTAAGTCAAAAGTTGAAATATGGCCTTGCCTATGCCAAAAAAAAAAAAACAACTTGCATTCCTTTATAATTTTACTAAATCCTGTTATAGTCACAGATACTTTCTTTTGAAAGACAGTTACATCCAGCCTAGATGACATCATCCCTTCTTATGAAGACATCCTGGATATTATTGAATCAAGCAAATGACATTACTTTCTGGGGTTGTAAATTAAAGACCCGTGGAGTAAATATAAGCCTGCAGTAGTTCATCTAGATGATGAGGGAAACCAATTAGGATATGTGTATATAATGCTTCCAGTATCTAAAAGTCAGCATCTATGATCATAAACATGTTAAGCAAAGATTTGGTTTGACCACGATTGTGCAGCACATGCTATTAAAATATTTTTTTGCCTTTTAAGAACTTCCTAATAGAATTTCCTTCACACTGAGACTCTTGATTCTTATTATCAGAGGCTTGTTTTCTTCTCTTTGAAATTGTTATTTTCTCCTGTGAAGGGCTTCATTCTAGAGAAGTCACTGAAGCAAAGAAAAGCTTCAGAGAGCCATACTGTGAGAATTAAAGCATAGCACATTAATTCAGCCTTCTCTTTCTATCTCCCCTCAATCAGCTAAAGGAAGTTATTTAAAAGAAAAGAAGAATTAAGGTAGAAACACACACATCCAGAGAGTCTGACTTTTGTCTTGTACTTTCACACAGGAAGAACAAAATATCTGTAAAGCTGCTAACGCTTTCTAGCATTAAGTCCTCTTCTATGAGTCATTAACTTGCTGAAGCCCAGAAAATCAAATTTGGTTTAGGGCTGTTTGATAATGTTGTAACACAGTAAAATGTGATTCACCAATTAGCCCATGTAATTAGAAAATGAGAAACATGCTCTAAGTGGCTGGTGGACACATATAAGTAAAGTCTATTGTCATTCTTTATAGTTGCTGATCATAGTTGTAATTCTACCTTTATAGTGGATGATAAGCAATCCAGATCCCCTATGGAAGAGAATCCACAAAGACCTGCATTTATATATCACATAAATTAGTTACTTACTTAATTCAGGCAGTTATTTGTTTACTCCTTTTCTTTTTCCTTTGTCAATTCTTTCTTGCCAGGCTGTTAAGCAACAGATCATCTGTTCCTGGCCTCCATAGAGTTTTCAGTTTGCAAGAAATATGTTTAAATTCTTCTAAGGAAGGAAAGTAAAACTGGTTAGAATCCTACAAAAATTATAGTTTTATAGTTAAAAATGAATCTCTCTGGCTGATACTTATATGCCACTGATATTGCAAAGACACATAGAAAAAAAAGATAGCCAGTTTGAGGATTTTCTTGCTCAGAGGTTTTGCCTGGTTGAAAAGGACTCTATGATGAATAAGAATGGGAATGCAAAATTTGTTAGATTATTTTAAAGCAACTCTTCATATATTCTATATGTACATCTTTTGAAATCTAAAGCATGTATTATTTATTGCCTGGTTATATTTAAAATATATTTCTGTAAATTCAAATGAATTCAAGGTTTGGTTGGATAGTTAAAATTGTCTCTCATTAGGAAATTCAAACATGTCCTACTTTGTTCTTTTCTTATTGCTACTGAAGTACATAGGCATGGTTACATGGTCCAGGGCTTCCCAATAAATATATAGAGATGATGGAGATGAATTACCTGAGCTTGAACTGGTGAAACAAAGGCATTCCTTATCTGATGTGGCCATCTTAGTGTCATTCGATTGCAAAAAATGACATATGGTTGTGCTGCCCTTATCACTGACTTTTTAAGGTCATATTTTAGTGTTCATGGAAATTCTAAAAGCTATTAGGAAATTGTTTTCCTTGTAGCTGTAACAATGCCCTAAGTGGTTTATTCTTTGTAGATTCACAATACATTTTTGCATTGTTCTCCCTGCCCCAAATATCAAAAAATTGTAAGGAATGCAAAAAGCTTTGATTGTTTTTTGTATAGTTTCACTCATATTTTAGAATAGCTTGGATTACATTTCATTTGGATGAAAATTTATGATCACAAACATCAAGGAAGTTTGATTTATTCATAGCCGGAATGAGAGTTAACCCCCAAATGTTATTAAAAATGCAGCTGTCTCCCCTTCAATATGTATTTAATCATTCTCTTTCTTTTTCCTCTTGTTTACAGGTCAATGGGACAGAAATTGAATATGAGTTTGAAGAAATTACATTGGAGAGGGTAAGAAAAATCCAATAATCCGAAGTTCCAATCTTGTATTCCACATTCTGCATCCTAATGAGTTGTCTTGTGAAATCATGTAATTGTGTATCGTACCCTGGAAATTTCCAACAGGACTCACAATGAGAATATGAATGAAGCACTTGTAGTGGAGGGCGTGGAGACAACCAGACCAAATCATCAGAATGTTCAATATGTAAATTGGCCTGCCAGGATTTGGAGAAATGAATGGGAAAGACAGAAATATTCAGTGAGCCAGTGCAGTATTTTTTTCCTATTATTTTCATTATCAATGTCTTGCCACACATTTTTAGATATATAACAAAATAGTTTCATTTATGTAATATTAGAATGATCATCACAACTATCATTACCATGCATTTTCTGGTTAAAAAAAAAGTGATGGATTTGAAAGTCACCCCCATAGAGAAAAACACAGCAACCCTCCAGGTCTCTGCAACTATGCTATGAGGGCCTTGGCGAGGCTTTGGCAGATAGGGAAATTCAATGCAGCGCAACCCCATATATAAAGATATTTTACAAAACAGTAAGAGAAAGGCCAAAAATCACCCAGAAAAAAAATGATCAAAAAGCTTTAACAGGACATTCATCCAAAAACAAAAAGCCAATACATACAAACACCTGTTCAACCTTATTAAACAAAACAATGCTTCCAAATAGTTTTTGTCTACCCCGTGGGCATAATTTAAGAGGAAGGTTAATATTTGCTGCCATTGAGTGGGCCTGGAAATTGGTACAGCCCTAAAAGAACAATTTGGAAAAATGGATCATCAAAAGTGGGCAGGACTTTGGACCCAGAAATTGTATTTTTAGAAATACACAAATGCACAAAAATGTTCATATGGGTATGGTTTATAATAAATTTGAAAAAGACAGTTGTTTAATAATACATATCTATATAATAGATTGTAAGATGTTTAAAAATATTTGATTATAGGAATAGAAGGTCTAACTAGACTATATTATTACACTTAAACATCAAATTTCAAAATGATATTTAAAATATAATCCCATTAGCCAAACACAACTATACATAAATAGTATACATTCATAAATATACATAAAGCCTGGAAGGATATACACCAAAATATTAGAAGTAGTTAACTCTTGTTAAGGATTTTTGGGTAATTTTCAGTGTCTTCTTTTTGTTTATATTTATTCTTAAACTTTCCATAATAAATATATAACACATTTACAATAAGAAATATAAATCTATTTTTCCTAAACTATCATTCAAGTGTGAGTTTAGACTCTAGACCTACACATCAATTTACATTTCCTTTTAAGTTTACTGATTATTCACTGCAGAGTTAGGGTATTTCTCATTTTCAGCCTAATTTTTATGGAGCTTGAGTGGTTTTAAAGGGAAATTTACATTAAAAGTTAAATGTTTGACAGATGGGTTCTTTAAAAGTTCCATTATGAACTTTGGTAAAATTTTAATGGCATGCTAAATGGAGAAAAGTGAGGCTTATGGAAAATTAGCCCTAATGAGAAAAAAGAACGTATTTCTCCTTCTAAATCAGTAATCCTGTCTCCAGAATCTGGCTAAATAATTTGTGGGGTGCAGTGCAAAATGAAAATGTGGAACCCTTTGTTAGCATTTTAGTAAGAATTAAAAGATGGGGACTGCTGAGGATCAAACCAAACATGGCCCTTCTTAAATTCAGGATCCTGTTTAGCCGCACAGATCTCACACTCACGAAGCCACCCCTTCTCTCTCCCCACACCCCACCCACAGAAACATCTTGAGTATCACTATTTAGTTACGCTGGTTTCGTAGGTAGGAAAATAGAAGCTAATGTTGGTGTGAGATGGAACATTCCGTGGAGTCAGACAGTTGTGGGTTCCAGTCTGCATTCTGACACCTACTTGCTTCATGCGCTACCATGTCATCTCACTTCCTGCCCTAGAGTCCCCAGTCACACTCGGAAACTTGTCTTTGCCATTAACTGCACCCCTTCCAAAACCTCCATGTAAAGCAGTGTCTTTTCTGAACACCACCTTTTTTCTGTCCCGTTTATTCTAGTTCTCCTACTCCAAAAATTCTTCATCTCCACTGGGGTCTCAAATCATGGATTTCACCATTTCCCTCCAGATTTTGCCCTTCTTTATGTGCTCCTTCCCCTCCTCTCCCAGCATATGTCCCTGGTCCATTGCTCTATTCTCCATCTTACACACTCTCAATATTTTTTCTCCTGCCTCCCTTTTTGTGTTCTTCCAGCAAAATCTCAGCCCTAGGTAATCTACCCTTCCTACTTACGTCACACCAGCACCTGGGCAACTGAATGTGTCTAGAGGAACACTCCCTCATCTCACTTTAAATTTGTAACTATTGATTTCAAGTGAACCTTCAAAACATCCTAGCAATTCTAGTATATACCTTGAGTAAAAACATCACGTGCTCCTTCTCTGGAGCAACAATTTCACAATTTATTTGCTCTCCTCCAATCTTGAACATGCCCGCCATCATCCTCACGTGATCACAGCTGTTGGCCTCTCATCGCATGTCCTCGGGAAAATCCAAGCAATCAAATGAAAATTGCCTTGCTTTCCTGTTAGCAGGTCTGCTAATGTGTTCTCCCTATTACAGTGGAGGCATTTTCCCTGCTGCTTTTCAAGGCCAGCTTTGTACTTGTGACTTAGCCTCTTACCCATTTAAAGGCTTTACCTCTGCAGGTCTCTCCTGTCTCTTCTGCAGTGTCAGTTTCTCTCTCGCTTGTTCTTGGATAAATTTAAAACAGACATGAGGTAATGTCTCTCATCTTTAAAAAAAAAATGGTGTCTTCTCCCAGTGAAGTCACATGGGGGGGGGGGAAATGTCCCTTAACCCAATGTGTCCCTTCTATTATTGCCTCATTATTCTATTTTGCTTTACCAAGAAGTTAAGAAAATTGTCTGTTTTCATTAACTCTACTTGATGACCTTATTTTCTTATTTTAAACCATTTTATGTTTTCATCTCCATAATCACTCTAAAACCATCCCTCTCACGGTCATGACACAGTTTATCCTGAGTCAGTTCTCTGTCCTCACTTCTCAGCAGCATTTGATGCAGTTATCTTTCTTCCTCAAAGATGTCAATTTCTTGTCTTCCAGACAAAACATTCTCATGTTTATCTACCATCTCCCTGGCACCCTTTCTCAGTCTCCTTATCGACTCCTCTTCTAAATGGTGGAACATTCCAGAAATCCAACACATAGACCTCTTCTCAACCTCTCCTCATTCTTAGGATCTCATCCAGACCCAGGGCTTTAAATACCAGCCATCAACTGATGATTCCCAAGCGTGAGTCATGACCTCTCCCCTGCCCTCTGAATGTATGGCTAACGGTCCAGTTGGCATCTCTGATGAATATCAAATAAGGTCTCCCAAACTTAATATGTTCCTAAATGTCCATGATTTCCCTGTACTACCTACCTTTAGGGCCAAAGCTGCTTCTATCTTAATATGCCTCATTTTAACTAATTGGTTCTATCATTTTCCTTATTATTCAGGCCAAAAAAACATCTAAAAGTCGTGCTTAATTATTCTTTTTTCCTTGGCATCCAAAGCAGGTCCTGATGGTGCTCTCATGAAAGTATTCAAAATCAATCACATCTAACCACCTGCCCTGCTGAATCCTAGTCCAAACCAATATCATCCCATGCTTGGACCACTATAATAATTTCCACTGTTGTTTGTTCTTCTCCTCAAAGAAGCCAGAGTAATAATTTCCAAATTATAAACCAGATCATGCCATTCTGTTTCTAAAGCCCTGCAAGAGGGGATCATTACAGTCATTATCATCACCTACGAGGCCTCATGCAATCTGGCCCCCACTTCTCTCTCCAACCCTGCTCCCGCCACCAGCATCTAGAACAGTCTGCTGTAGCCACACATACTTTCTTCCAAGCCAAGGTTTTCCCACCTCAGGGTCTTTATATATGTTATTCTATCTGCCTGGAAAAATCTCCCCATAAATAGTAACATGGTTTGCTTTTTGCATCATTTCAGTATCTGCTCAAATGTCTCAGAAAAATGTCTCCTGTGCACCCTGTTTAAATTGTACCAGCATCCCCATTGCACCTATTTCCCCTTTCCATGGCTGTATTATCTTTTTAATTGTGCTTGCCAATGTCTGAAATTTATATTATTAATTATTGTTGACTTTGTTCATATCTGTCTTCCTCCCTAAATACATGCAATATATAAATATATAGTTACTTTTATATCCAATATGCCTAGAAGAGTGTCTGGAACATACTGTACACTCAATGAATATTTGACATACGAATGGATTATGTCTGTACAAGTACAGTGAGGTAGAGACACATGGCCTTGTTTGAATCTTGGCTCTATGTATTATCTACTTGGCTCTATCTACTTGCCAGTTGAGAGACTTTGAGCTGAATACTTAACTTTCCTGTACTTCAGTTTCTACATCTGAAAATGAGGCTAAAGTACTTGTAATTACCTCCTAGGACCTGTGAATGGTTAAATGAATTAATATAAAGGCTTAAAGCAGCATGCATAGTTATCATCCTTAACATTTCCTTTGTGTTAACATGGTAGTTCTCACAAGTGTTATTTATTGGGGGTCACTGAGGAACCTTATAAAAAATATAGTTTCCCAGTCTCAGTGAAAAACTTCCACTAATAAGAGCTTTCAGATCATCTTTTCTTTTCTTCTTTCCTTTTTTTTTTTTAGTTATTTTGTTAGATGTCAGACATCCAATCATGAAGTTATGGTCCTTGCTGTATGCATTTACAGCTTACTCTTTTTCTAAATTTAATCTGTCTCACATTTAATTTAGGGATACACTAATCACATTTAGTAACATCCTTATGAGGCGAATATTGCTGACTCTATTTTAAATGTCAGGACACTGAGGCTCAGAAATTAAACCACTTGTCAAGTCACAATGTTAGTAAGGGGTGGAGCTAGGATTTAGCCCCACACCCACTGGGACACTGGAACCTAAGCTCATTGCTCTCAG